GTACACACTGAATAAATGTCAGCCGCTGTGATGAGACTAATGGCGACTCTTACTTTGGCCACCATTGTGTCATCGGGCAAGTCCCCTCCTCTCTCAGCTTTCCTCCTTCCCTGCCATCTCCATGGGCCCATCTAAGTCTGAAGTTCAGTGATCTTTTCCCCACTCATCTCGGCAGACAAGTTAGGGCCTTTGCTTTCAGCACAATCACCATCCCCATTTTACCAATTAGGAAAAGACAAAGTGGCTGGGCAGGAGCTGGGTTCCTGGTTATGGCTCAGTCTTTCTTCTCTCTGATAACTTCGGGGGGAGTTACACAAGCAGCAGGGATGGGATACCAGGCACAGTACCCATGCGAGCAGCCACAGGGACTTTCCCTGAGAGAGATTGGGCTGGAGATGCATTCCTCCCCTCTCACTGACTTGAGTGTCCCCTGGACTAGAGGCAGCCCCACCGATCATCAGGAGGAATGGGGAGGGGCCTCCACTCTCCCAGGTTCTTCCTCATCCTCCTTGAAGTCAGCAGGCCAGGGTCCGGGGAGCTTAAAGACATCTGAAGGTTAGAAATTTTAGTTTCTGCCTGGTTTGGGACAAAGGCTGCTTTGGCTTCAGTTGGAGAGCCCAGAGCCAAAGTAGTGATCAAGACCCCCAGAGGGGAGACATGTACTTGAGCTGCAACCGTATCTCCCTTTCCTGGAGAAGAAATCCACCTCAGCAGAGCAGCGGTTTAGTGCCACTAAAAGAGTTTCAAGAGCAGATAGCGTGGATGCTTATTTAAAAATGAAGACATGGAGAGCAAGTCCACATGTTCCTAAGCAAAACATCTTATAACACGGGTTCTGGAGCCTAGTGCCTCCCTGTGCTCTCAGTGAAGGCCACTTTCCTTGCCAGTAGATAGGCTCACGCAAGGACAGTGTGGGTCATGAGACCCCCAAAAGAGCATGCTGTGCAAGAGGAACACACATGGGCTTGCAGACAGGGGTTCCCCTTTCATCAAAGATATAGAGAGTGATTCCTTCTATCCCAATATAAAATTGCTATTCCCATTCCTCTCTGTTTCCCAGCTTGTAGTCATGTCATTTGCTGGGTAAAAAGGTAAGTGTTTCTTTACTTTGTCCTGCTTGGAAATCCACTGCTTCTACCTTCCCCAACATGTATGGTCAGCAAGGGGCTGGAAGGGATGGATTTAGAGCTCAGTAGAGTGCCTAGGACACCCTGGCCTGTGCACGTGAGATGGGCTCAAATGGGTCCCAGGTGACTCGGACAAATGGTTTTGCCAGCATGGAAAGCTGTGGTGGAGAGAAGAGAGCTGCAGACAGAGTCCCAACTCCAACGGCCATTCCACCTTCCCATTCTACAGCTCATCCTACCGACCAGAGCCCAGGGCCCTCAGAACTCAGGGAGCTCCCCTCAGGGCCCTTCCAGAAGGAACACTCACATCTGTAGCTCTGTGACATTTAGCCTCTACATCTGCCAGGCTTCTGGGCTGCTGTCCTCATGGACCATCTTCTCATTTAGCCAAGGCTTGCTTAGGGATCCATGTTTTGCATGGAGCCATGTTTCAGACACTGAGAGTACACCAGTGATTATGACTGAAAAAGCCACTGCCATTATGGAATTTACATTCCAATCTCAGTCCAGACAGGGAGAAAAGTGGAGGGACTTCTGCCATCTAGCTGTCCGCAGCCCACAGGGAAATGGGCTTGGTCCATGGACATCAAGCACAGGAGAATGTTTCTAGGGAGAATGAACCCATCCTTCAACCTCATTGTAAACCAGAAGTTTTATTTTATTTATTATTTTTTTGAGACGGAGTTTCGCTCTTGTTACCCAGGCTGGAGTGCAATGGCGCGATCTCGGCTCACTGCTACCTCTGCCTCGTGGGTTCAGGCAATTCTCCTGCCTCAGCCTCCTGAGTAGCTGGGATTACAGGCATGCGCCACCATGCCCAGCTAATTTTTTGTATCTTTAGTAGAGACGGGGTTTCACCATGTTGACCAGGATGGTCTCGATCTCTTGATCTCGTGATCCACCCTCCTCGGCCTCCCAAAGTGCTGGGATTACAGGCGTGAGCCACCACGCCCAGCCCAGAAGTGTTATTTTTAAACAGGAAGGTAATGTCCTCACCATGTGTGAATGCCTGGCTGGTGAGCTGCCAGCCCAGGCTGCTATCAGAGGCTGTAATGACCATTGTTTCTCTCTGCGTAATTAAACGTATTGTTAGTGACCTGGTGAAGGAATCATTTTCACAGAGTTTTTTTGCCTTGATCGCATCCTTTGAAATGTAACACATCCTACCACACAGAATGGAAATCACCCTGGAAAGACGCAGTGAGTTCTCGGTGGGACTCAAGGCTATACCCTGGGTCTGGTTTAGAACAGAATTAATTTCAGCATAGAAGTCAGAAGGGGTACTTTTGGAAGAACTCCATGGCAGAACTTCCACTGCCATTATAAGGCCTGGAATATGATATCTTTCTTTCCCCTTTTCCAACACACCCCATACAAGTAATATTTTCATGGATCCAATGAGGGAGGGTCATCCAATCCCACCACCTGAACAGATGGAAAATGCAAGAGTTCAGACTCCCATGTCTGACATTTCCAAACAGGAGGGTGTCCCGAGTGTGGGGCTTCTCCCTGGCTTTGTCAGGTGTGTTCGCCCCTTGATGTGGAAGGCCAGGCTTGGCAGTTTTCTTTAGGGAACACCATCTGTACTTCAAAAACCCTGACATCTGAGGCCAACTGCTCCCACCCTCCCTTGGATGTAGGGGATGGGATGGGAGCCTTTCACACTGTAGAATTCCCTTGGCTGTCTGCAAAGAGAGGGGGAGCAGAGGACGTAAAGATGATGTAAAGTATTTTCATTCCCTCCCAGAAAGGACTTCAGTAATCATGCAATCCAAACTCCTTATGCACTGACATGGTACTAAAACAAGCTCAGAGAGAGGTACTGTGACTTGCCAAAGGTCTTACAATTTGTGGCAGAGCAGACCCAATAAAAACAAACATTACTAAGTGCTTACCCTGTGCCTAAAGACACCTCAGCCTTTAGACACCCTGTGTCTAAAGACGCCTCAGCCATTAATTTCCTTTGCCTTCACAACAAAACCATGCTATGAAATAAGTATTGTTATTTTACCCATTTTACAGATGGGAAAACTGAGACACAGGGACATAAGGCTGAAGTGATGGGACCAGGAATCAGATAGAGACAGTGGGACCCAGAGCCCACACTCTCAGCCACAGACACTCGCTCATTCCTGAGCTGAGGCTCATACAGGCTGGCTCCCTGTGATTGCCACTTTCTCAGACGTGTAAAGGCTTTTTCAGTTTGGGACAAAGTCAGTATCACCACTCTTTCTAGGATAATGTTCCAGTTGGGAATGTAGTGTAAGTCATCATCTTTCTGGCATTTTCCATTGTCCCCATTAGATCCACTTGTGTGGTGGCACTGGCAATTTTGAAGTCCGTGTACCCTGGGCAAGAATATTTTCTCAAACATCCCCATGAAGAGGCCATATTTTCAGTTTTTCTTTTGTGTATGTAGAAGTGAGGTGGAGGGAAATAAGAATCTTTGGTCATTGGGCTGGCACTTTCTGGGAAGGTGAATGTTCTAAATTAAGCTGTAGATGTCAACGGAAGCCCCTGCAGGAAGAGTCACCGTTAAGGCCATGAGGACTACTGAATGTGGAGAGGGTGACCCTCTGTTTTAAGGCCCAACATCCAAAGAGGACACGAGGCTCAGCTGGTCATCTGGTTCAACCCCAGTAGCTAGACTCACTCTGGCTTCCCAGACTCAGTTCTCCAGTGAACAGGGGCCAATCCAAACTTTTTCCCTGCAGATATATTTTGTGTTCTGTATTTGATCTACAATTAAGAGCCCCCAGCCAGAGGCCCCATTTTCAAGCAGTGCAGCAATCTGCAGACAATATCTAAGTTTGGTCTCAGTCTTGGCTCTTTTCCCTGAGAGGGCAATCCGAAAAGACATTGAAATAACCCTTGTTGGCCAGATCCAGCAGCAGTGGGATGAGGCCCTGGGAGGGATGTGGGATTGAGCTTCTGTTTTGGACCAAAAAACTCCGCATTTGGAAAGCTAACCATGTGATTGAGAGTCTTACCTCACTTTAAGGGAACAGCCATAGCATGAAAATGTTTACAACATCTTTAAAACATTTGCATTTACTTTTTGTATTCAGGATTTAATGTGACCACCAGAGAAAGTGATTTAGATTCCTGGTGACTCTTTGAATCTTGAGTTAGGTTAGTAATGGATATGTCTATCTACGTTTGGCTTTCTAAATGAGCTCCTTGGGTACTATTTGCTTGGCTTTCTATCACTTTGCTTGAAATTCACACTGATTCTCACCTCAAACAAAATTAATAGCTGACTCCAAAATACGTAGTAACTTATTCGCCTGTTTTTCAGGTGGGACAGGCTTTATCTGCATGTCCCCTGGACATAGAAGCCACTTGGAAATGCCTCAAGTGTAGCTGTTGATGGGGGTATTAACACTTTGACAATATCAATGCCCCAGATAGGGAGATTCTGCCACCTGGTTTCATAGCCTTGTGACTTGCAGCCGCTAGAGAAAGGTCTAAAAGCTATGTTTACACTCAGCATCCAGTCATCAGATAAAAGCCAGAACCCCAAGGTGCACCCTGCGAAAGTGGTCCCATCGTATGCTCTTCAGATTCTAGCAGCGTATTTTCATGTGTGATTGACTCTGAGGGCCCCTGTTTTTCTGAAAGACAGAGGTGACAGGATAACAGAGCAGGCAGAGCAACCCAGAAACGGTCAGGTCAAGGTCAGACTCTCTCCTCTTTGCTGAATATTTAGCCTGTGGCACCTGTGTCTCCCAGGTGAAGGGAGATGTCAGCTGGTGATGATTTCTCAGATGGCTGTCAGGTCATGCTGTGCCCTTGGGATGCTGGGTAAGGACACAGAAGCCCAGGCAGCTCCTGACACTGACATAAGTTGACAGTTGTGTCTTGGCTCCACAGGCCCCCACTCGGAGCCCCCATCCTGCAACGCCAACTCCATCTCCTGCCCCTCGCCCTGTACGTGCAGCAATAATATTGTGGACTGTCGAGGAAAGGGCTTGACGGAGATTCCTGCCAACTTGCCGGAGGGCATCGTTGAAATGTAAGTGCCCCCATCTGACACCCCCACACCTGTCCCTGGTGAGTTCAGCTCCCTTTCCCAGGCAATCACCCACTAGGCCATCTGCGTGTGGGGCTGTTGGAGCTGACGGTTAAAAACATTCAGGATGAATCTCTTTGCTGTCCTTTGACACCTTCCCACCTATGATAGCACAGTGGTCAAGAGCACAGACTCGAGATCAGAATCAGCAAATTATAGCCTAGGGCCAAGGATGCCCATTGCCTATTTTTTGTAAATATAATGTTTTGGAACACCTCCATATCCATTTATGTGTGTCCTGTCTATGGCTGGTCTCTTATGGTAGTACTGAGCAGCTGCTGCAGAAGACTGCATGGTCCACAAGGCCTAAAGTATGTTCTCTCTGGCCCGTCCCAATGAGTTTGCCAATCCCTGCCCTAGAGTCACACTGTATTTGTATCCTGGCCGTACCATGTGCTAGCTGTGTGACATCAGGTAAAATAATTTCTCTTTCATCTTTAGTTTTCTCACCTATATTAATGTGATAATTATAGTATGACACCTCAGTGGGTCATTGTGAAAACTAACTGAAATGTTACACATGGAGCCCTTCATACAGTCCTCAGCACACGGGCAGGTACTCCGTACAGTAGTGGTGGAAGTGGTGGGGCGTAAACGAATGATTCACTCATGTCTTAGCTACCACTGTCTGAGAGGGGAACTGAGCTCTTAATTATCTCAGATCTGATTTTTGTCCTGTAGATTTGATCTTTTATAGGTAACGAGATGAGATTGTATGTCTGTATGTATACATGAGTGTCAAAAATTCCAGTAAAATGTGTTTGTCCACAGAGTTTGGCCTAGTCCACTCTCACCTCATACATTAGAAAATGGCAAGTATCTCGTTCTAAAATGAGTGGAGGACCAGTCAACATTGACTTCAAGATTACTTTTCAAATAGCAACAGTTGCTTTCATTTTCTGCCTTCACCTTTAGTTGGCTTCATTTTTGTCATATGGAATCCTTATATGGAAATATAAGGAATTTTATATTTCCATAAAATATAAATGGAAATATATATTTTTTTGAAAAATCGTTATATGGAACCCTTCTACTGAAAACATCATTAGGTAAAATCCCTCCAAATAAGAGATACACATTTCCCTTGCCTCTCTGCTTTGTCATAATCTCCTTTCTTTCTTTTTTGCTCCTCTTCCTCTTCCCCTTCCCTGTGTATGCCCTTCTGTTCCCAGTTCATTCCAGTAGATGGCCATGGACTCATTCATTCATGTATTCATTCAGTAAACATCTGTTGTGAACCCACTGTTTTCCTGTCATTGTTCTGTGCTTGGAAAGACAGGAACCAACAAAACACACACATTTCTGCCTTTATAACACTCGCATTGTAGTGATGGAGGGGATAAGCAACAAAGTAAGTTAGATAACATGTCAGAAGGTAGATTCTATGGAGAAAAATGAAACAGGAAAAGGACATGAAATAAGCAAGAGAACGAAATGGCTATCTAGAGAAAGAGTGTTTTAGGTTGAGCAAAGGCCTTGAAGCTAGAGTGGGCCTGGTGCTCCAGAAAACCAGTGTGGCTGGAGTAGAGTAGACAAGAGGGGCAGTAATGGGGGATAAGATCAGAGAGGTAAGGAGGGGCCACATCCTGCGACATTTGAAAGACTTTGACTTTACCTTGATTGAAATGGGAAGAAGCACATGACTTTCCACACTGGTGTGGAGTCTTCGTTTCTTCTTTCTTCACCTACTTTGCCAGCTTTTCTCTGATGCCTTTACAGTCCCATTTTCCAGCCCCAGTAGACACAACCTATGCCTCCAAACTACGTGGAAGGCAGGAGGTGGTCAGTAAAGATCCTTCTGCCTGCCGTTCCCACCTTCTGTGGCCCTCCGCCTTTCTTTTCACAAACACTAACAATTCATTCCCTTAGGGTTTTAATGCAACTCTCCTCAGTCCCTGTGGTCCTTTGCTCTGGCTTGAGAGAGCTCTTCCTCCACGAAGTCTGCTTAGTCCTCACCTACCTCTCCTGTTCCTCCTATGGCCTCCAACATACCATCTAATCTACTCTAAATATGTCCATCCTTACATCATTCTTCTTCTTTTCTATTCTTGCTTTTTTTCATTTGGCACTGTTTCCCCTTCATCATTTTCTCCCTCCCTTGGTGCATTTCTCCCCTCTCCCCCTTGCCCCACCTATGGTCTTCCCACTTCTCTTCCTACCCCCATCTCTTTCTCCCCCCAGTTAACCCTCCACTCCCTTTCCCTCTCCATCCATACCAGAATGGGCCTCTGGCCCTCCCACAATGGATATTCAAGTTGGAATTCCCACCTGCCCTCATCTCATTTCAGATTCCTATGGATCGTTCCTTTCTTTCCCTGCCCCACCTTATTCTTTTCTCCTTCCATCTGCCAGGTTATATCTTTCCTCTTTGGCAGCCACAGACCTTCCCTTGGCCAGGTTCCCAAACTACAGTCTGATGAAAGAGTCCAGTCCAGGAAGCCAGGCTGTAGCCAGTGAGCCCACCCCAGCCCTGATTCAGGGCCCTGGGCCTGCCACCCCCCTGCCACTTCACATCTCCCTACTCCCAGCCTAGACCTCATGGGTACACAGCTCAGCTCTCCAAGAGACAGAAACTACAGATAACCACATCAGAGGTGGGCTCTGTGCAGACCAGATCATACCTGGATGTGTTGAATTTTAAAAGCGACATTGATGAGCTAGAACAGTAATTGCCCAGAGCCTGTCTATTATGACTGAGGTTTTCCTGATATCAGGTAAAGTGCAAAAACCAGAACAACGTGATATTTTTATATTGAGCAAAAATAATTCAGTTCAAGTGTGCATCCTATAAGTTTTTGGACTTCCTTATTCTGTTTTCATTGTTTTTAGAAATGTCTTTTATTTTGCAAAATGATAGCCACTGAAGACAGAGTAGTCTATGTGTGTTATATATGTTTAACTATTGTATAATTATAATTTATGTGTTTTATATAGTACACGCAAAGAGATTGCCATACTTAGCAAAATAAAAGGTCTGGTCACCACCTAGTCTTTGAAATCCAAAAGTCTGAGAATGACCATCCTAGCTAGAGCATTTCCAGAAATAGGCAGAGACAACGAAGAGGTTAAGAGTATAGACTGTGGATCTGGGCAGCCTACATTCCAGCTTTGGCTCTGCCTGGTAGCCATGGGCAGATAACTTTTCTGAGCCTTGGTTTTCTCCTTTGCAAAATGCAGAGGCTAATGGCACCTCCTTACTAGTTCTTATGAAAGTTAGGTGAAGGCCAGTCATGGTGGTTCACACCTGTAATCCCAGCACTTTGGGAGGCCGAGGTGAGCAGATCACGAAGTCAAGAGTTCGAGACCATCCTGGCCAACATGGTGAAACACCGTCTCTACTAAAAAAACAAAAACTAGCTGAGCATGGTGGTGCATGCCTGTAGTCCCAGCTACTAGGGAGGCTAAGACAGGAGAATCACTTGAATCCAGGAGGCAGAGGTTGCAGTAAGCCAAGATGGCACCACTGCACTCCAGCCTGGTGACAGAGAAAGACTGAAAAAAAAAAAAAGAAAGTTAGGTGAATGAGAATAGTAAAGTGCGTCTGGCCCATATGATGTACTGTGTTAGCAATGATTGTTGTTAGTTCACAGTGGCAACTACTACAACTATCACCACCATCTTTATTAGGATGATGACAATGGTTAAAAGCCACATCCTAGGAGCTGGAGCTACCTACACAAGAGATTCCTCCATAAACATAGGTCAGTTCTCCAAAGGGTTATGGTTGCGAGAATAGATTCTGGAACTTGGCTAGCCACTTGTATTATGACTTGAACTTGGGAGTAGTTCATCTTCATGCAAATGTACTCATATATTGAAATAAGGCTGCCCCTGTGTGTCGGGCACCCACAGTCTACCAAATGGATTGCCTAGGACTTCCCCTGCATGGCTTGCCTCCTCCTCCTCTGTGATAAAATGAAGCAGAGAGGGCAGGTCTCTATGGTTGGGGATAGGGCAGTTGGAGATATGACATGTAAAAGGGAACCTGAGAGCGGGTTGGAGGGAGAACCTGCTTCTTCTATGTGCCCGGGGACCTGTGTGTTGGCCTAAAAGTCTTTAAAGCAGGGAAAATGCATCCTCTTAGCATGTGAGAGGTCAGCAGATGGGTGGGAAGATGAGAAAAAAGGGAGCAGAGAGTTGAAACAGCAGGATGCACCCCAGGATGAATAGGAGGTATCTGATTTATCATTCCAAAGACATCCAAATGTGGCTTGTTTTTCTTTTTCTTATCAGAAATTCCATCCCTTGTCCATGGCCACCTATATCATCCAGATTCGTACTTCCTCCTTAGGAATGCTTGGTACCATGTTAGGCTCTCCACTCCCTCTTCTCAAACCTTAGCTACTAGTGATTCTCTTAAATTGCCTGAACCTTGGGAGGGGTTCTGTACTCCCCAACTTTAGGGGAAGGGGAAGGGGAAGGGGAAGGGGTTGCCTATCTCTGATGCAAAGCAGTCTTGCAGACTCTTTTCAATGTTTTCTAAAGCCAAGCAGCTCCGAGAAATGTGTGCTGGTGTCCCCGAATACCAGAGCCAATTCTTCTAAAAATAGCTTTCTTCCAGAGAACCCACAGTGAGATGATGATTCACTGCAGATTTTCTTCGAAACTGAGCTCCCACTGATGGCAACGTTCTCACTGCACCCTGTCGGTTCTCTGAACCCGCTCTGGCTTCCAGCAGGGATAGATGATGGGAAGACCCAGAAACCCACATGTTCCTCTGCTCTGTGGTCTTCAGGACGCTCTTATGAGTCTTCAAAAGCTCCGAAGGGACCATCTGTCCCTAGAGCCTCATCTTCTTCCATTTTTGCTCTGTATCTCCCCATGGTGGTATCCCATGTCTCATATCTTCTGCTATGAAAGCTAAATGTCTTCCATGAAGAAAGGCTATAGACAGGTTTTCATGTCCAGTCATAAGTGAGAGCATCTTAGGTGGGGAAATAGCC